TTTTTTTTTTTTTTTTTTTGCATATATTTGTTTTAAGAGCATATTATGAAAGAGTAAACACATATTTTTCATATGTACGTTTATCGTATTTATTTTGTAAAATTCGGTACTATTTATTAAACTCTCGAACAAATTTATTAAGAGTGCGAATGTACACATGATATTATACGTATTATCGAGTAATTGTTAACCAACTCGATGTAATTAATAAATGATATCGCGGAAAAAGTGGGATAAGTATAAAACAGCGATTGAAAATACCCGAGAAAAAATTACATTAAAACGAAACGCTGTTTTTAAAAAAAGAAACTCCAGTATTATGTATCATGATATTTTAAAAAATAAAGAAAAAAAAAAGAAACTAAAATAATTCTAAAAAATAAATTAAATTATTCTACAATTTTTTTGAAAAAAAAAAAAGATTACAAACATTAATTTATGACATATAATTTCTTATTGAATTTCTTGAAATATTCTTCAAATCGTAATTTAACATTAAAAATCGCACCTACGTAATTCAATATATTGAAAATTTCGATTTTACAATTTAACATTCATTTAATAATCGATGATTAAAAAATATTATTTATCACGAATAAAATAAACATCCTTCTGTCGTTCTGTAAGATTCACAAACATTCGCCTTCCAAAATTAAATAATTGAGAAACGTATAAATAAAACTTTCTTAAAAAAAAAGTAAAATAAAATCAAATAAAATAAAGTCCAATGGAAACCACGTTTCACCACGTTCTTTTTTTTTTTTTNTTTTTTTTTTTTTTTCTTCACCAACAGCGAATCGTTATCCTGTTCATCCTCCACAACCCTAAACTACCCTAACTCGATCCACGAAAAATCATTTCTCTCCTCCCCCTGTTTCCACCCATTTTCGCGAATGGGAACCGGCTACTAGCATAAGTGGATTCAAACATGTCGAATTTAGCAAGTTTGCCAACGCGACCGTCTGCCGCTCCATGTAAGCGCTAACAAAACTCTAATGAGAACGAGGCCTCGAATTAAGCGGAACTCGGCGTAATTGAAATTGAACGAAATTGGAATTATCGAGAATTCGATTAACAACGAACTCACGAATTCACGGGGCGATACTTTACACGACGCGAAGGGACCTAAGAAACTGTGTTATTATTTTTTGTATATAACATATTTTCCACAGAAATGATAATTATTATTTTCGTTTATTAGAACGCGTTTTAATAATATTATTGTCAATTGAATATTTTGAAAAAAGAATATCGTAATAAATATTATTGTTGATTGAAGGAAAGATACGTTTTGGAAAATGTATCTGATATAAATATTAAATATCACAGATTGTCGATAAGAAAAATTGATTTCTATTTATTTCTTTCGAAATTAAATCAATATTCGAGTAATAATCCAAATTTCTTTATCTCAGTTTAATAGAATTTAATAGAACCAATTTCGAGACGATTCATTTTAGAAGAATTGTTTTTAGAAATATTCCACCCACGATTTAATCCATCCACATTCACGATAAGCCATTTTTCCTTCCAATCCAAGAAATAAACTCTCGTCTCGATCATCTTAACGACCCTATTGCTATTTATTACGTTGCTTACATATTCAGATGCAGAAAGGGGGTGGAATTTTTTCGATAATTCGACTAGTCAAAATCAGGAGATAATTTGTCACTCGAATACATCGAACCTCCAGAGGTTCCGTTTAACCCACTGTTTTCACGATAAATGTGAACCATTGATATGCGATTGTATTTTCCAAGCCCGGATTCCGGGTTAAAAGCTCGCTGATTTCCATGCGTTATAAATGCGAGCCGATTTGATTCATGCCTGCCATAAATTGCACGACATTTCGAACAGTAATTGTGGACACTAATTTTCTATCCGATTTCCATACGGATCGGGAAACAGGGGGAGGGAATCCCCTCCGTGTCAGAAGCTTTTGCTGCTTTTTCTGCTTTTCATTACCCGGTGACACCGGGGATCCTGGTCTCCTGTCCGTTCAATGATCATCGAGTAAAATTATTTCCCACTCGGCTAGACTATTAACCGATTTGCCAACCGATCTTACTTCCAATATAAATATAAATAGTTTCACCAATATACCAAAAACTCTTTCCCTTAATTCAATTAATCCCAATCGATACATTCCATTCCATATTTAATAAAATTCACTCGTCCATCTTCTCAATACATATTAACCCTTTAGAATCGTTTCGTGCCCAAATTTCGACATCTACGATAATTATAGAGAGAATAATTTCAATACCTGTCTCATCATATTTACAAATCAAAAATATGATTCTCTTGTAACACGTACGTCAAAAATTCGATCGCTTAGTGAGCGACAATCTGATACATCTATATATACGAAACACGTCAGGTCTCTCCTCGTTTTTCGAAACATATCCACCGTGAATCCGGAGTAAATCAATTTAACAGAGAGAGAGAGAGAGAAAAAGAGAGAGAGAGCAGTTAGAGGATTCCCGAAGAAATCCAGAGCGGATAAGAAGGAAACGAAGAGGAGGAGGAGGAGGAGAGAGAGAGAGAGGGACGAGGGTATCGGCAATGGGAGACGGAGGAGAGGAAAGAAGAGACGCGACGTCGAAATCATCGTCCCTGAGGGATCGACCAATCGTCGCTATACCAGGCACCCAAGATAAACTCTTGGCACGTCTTCATTAGAGTTTTCTAGTCTATTTACGGGCATGGAGGGACCTCTCTTATTACTCGACCAGAAACAACACGCCCGGCTCCATTGGCGGACTTCGATGGCGCATCGCTCGCCCCCATTTCCACCGTGTGTTTGTCCTCGAGAACTGCGAATTTTCTATCCTCCCCACCCCTTCACGCGAAGTCGTTGTATTTTCAAGAGCAGTGGATGCAGAGTGCAAGTGGAATTTTGGCGACAACAGGCGAGTTTCCCCGAATTCTTTTCGAATTCTTTTCTGTCCTTCGTGTTCTCTTCTTCAGTAATAGAGTAAGGAAGAAGGAGGGAGGGATACGATACTTTGAAACAATTTGTGACTAAGACGGAGACGACGAAAGGATGTAAGGATTTCTTTAGTAATCATTCCTGAGATTGAGATATATTCGAGATAATCGGAGAGAGATTGTTTGCGCAAAGTCCTCGAAATGTACAGCAAGTGAATTAGATAATAAATCTTTTCTTTTCTTTTCTTTTCTTTTTTTTTTTTTTTTCAGTGAAATTTCTATTTTTATAGAAATTCTAACTACGAAAGAAATATTTATTCTATCGTTTTCTAAGTCTAACTTACGATAAAGTACGAAAAGAAGAAAAGAAGAATCGTCGAAGAGTAATTAATAAGGCTCGAAAATCACCGTTTAATCGAAGTTTAATAATCGAACGAAGGGAAAAGTGGAAGGATTTTTTACTTTAAATTTAATTGAACCGCGAGATTATGGGGTGTTAAAGCGAGAGGCGTATCCATTTCCGGTAAAAATAAGCGCGCGCGTGCCTTGTTCCACTGCCTTTCCCTCGCGTAATAAGAACCGATTTGCCCTCTATATTACACCCCACCGTTATCCCTGCCCAACGAGGGATACCTAATAAAGATCAACTTGCTCTTCCACGTGATACTTATTATAGATTGAACAACGATGAACCAATGTTTCAATACTTTGTTACGCAAGTTTCGACGCCCTCTCCCTTTATGGAAAAAAAAAAAAACACCGTACGTGTAATTCCCAATCAATAATTCGTGACTCAATTTTATATAAGTATTATTTAAACAAGTATGTGATAATTGTTAAAATTATTTTTCGTTATCTCTCGTTTGTATACGAAATCGAAATATTAATAAAGAGATAACTACGTTTCTTTACTCTCCTTCGAAAATTCAAAAATTATCAAAAAGTAATAAATCTACCCTTCTTCCAGATTTTCTAACGTCTCTCAAGCGAATCAGAGTTCGAGTTCGAAAGAGTCGGTTCCAACATTTTGTTTGTTACAAGTTTCACCGTACGTCTAATTTGCAATCGATTATCAATAATTCAATTTTATTTGATTATTTAACGGAACAAAATATGTGATAATTGTCAACTTATTTCTCGTTTTTATACGAAATCGAGATATTAATAAAGAGACAACTACGTTTCTTTACTCTCCTTCGAAAACTCAAAAACCATCAAAAAGAAACAAATCTACCCTTCTTCCAGATTTTCCAACGACTCTCAAGCAATCAGAAGAGATCGAAAGAGTCTCAAAATCTTCTCTAACTTGCTTAAAAATTAATCGTGGAACTTCTCGAAGAGAATCGTTGAACTAGGGCAGAAATGGTAGGCAGATCTCGAAGGCGAAGGATCGAGTAGAGAGAGAGAGGAAAAAAAAAATAAAAATGGAAGGAGAAAAATAGCTTCTTTCCACGGGAAATTTCAATATCCCGAGTTTGTGCTTCGCAGGGCCTACCTTCGCAAGCCACCCCTCTACGATCCACGTGGGAGAGGATGGAAGGAAGAAATATACCGGAGAATCGGATAAAATGAACGAAGGGAGACAGAGAATCGCCTCCCCCCCCTCCTCTCTCCCTCCTTCTCGCCCCCGTGACACTCTCAAGAGGTTCTTCTTCGTTCGTGACTCCAGTAGACATCGGGGGATCACTTCTTTCCCGTTGGCCGGTTCCCCGGCGAGAGACGTACTCCTCGTACCGGCTAATTTAATTCTTAAACCGAGAATAAGGGTGGCCGAGTATGACGAAAAAAGAAAAGAAGAAGAAGAAGAAGAAGAAGAAAAAAGGAGGAAGTCGGCGAATTTCCTTCTATGGGAGTACGTAGGAGAGAAGCCATCCCCCTTTACGAGGCATATGCCAGATGATAATTGGTATAAGTGTTACTCTCGCCGAGGGGTGCGCTCTTTTGAGCCATGCTATTTTCACTGATTCGCTTTTTTACGTCTCGAGGCGAGGATCTCTCGCTCCGTGGGATCACGGAGGAGAAGATCCTTTCCTCGCGATGTTTCGTAAGCTACGATTCACGTGGAACATCGTAAGGGAGGGAAAAATGCAAAAGGGATGCTCAAAGGGAAAGAAAAAGGAATGAAATAGTGGAAGATGAGGAATGTGTCGTTGAATGCATGCGTTTGAAACGATTCGAAGAATAGATCTTGGAAAAACTATTTATGAAAATCTTAACTTATTTATATTTACCGATGACTTCTTATTGGGATGAATTACGATAAATTATAATAAAATGAAGAAATTAGGGAGAAATAATTTTTTAAGAATTTCTTTCCGAAAGATCGAGCAAAAATTTTTATATTTTTAAAAAACGAGGCAAGGAAATATTCCTTGAGTAGAATATAGAAGTGAAAATATTTCTCTTTATCGAGGGATACTATCGAGGGATTCCTTTATTAAAAATCTATCCACGCGACCTCGTATAATTGCATCTAAGAGTCTTCTATTTAGCCGTCGCCTTCTTATCACGAGTAATCTCGGAAGGATAGCCGTGTACGAGAGTGAACGTAACCGCGGATCGAGTAAATGCGTTAGACTACGAAAATGGATTATTTACCCGCCTTTTAAGCTGCCTGCTGAGAAAGCCGAGGTGGACCTCCAAGACATTTCCTAACGACATTGTGGACCACGACCGAGACCGGCTTCTTCTTCTTCCAAAACAACGTTACGACATGGAAATTAGAATCAAAGGGGTTACGCGAGTTTAACAAGAACGATGCATCACGATTTTTTAATGTTTTCGTTTTTGATATCGACTCGTATTTAGATTAAATGTATTCCGTGAAAATTTGATTCAATTTCTTTGATTCTGAAAATTTAATCTTGCTAAAATAATCATTTGCTAAGGAACTTTTTACTCACTCAAAATCGAAGAATGTCAAATTATAATAACTCGAATATAACCTTCAATTTTCACAGATGTAAGGTTAACTCGACAACAAATAACACAAATTCTTAATCAATTTCCTCCACTTACAAAAAAAAGAAAAAGAAAAAGATATAAATTCCTATTAACACAGATTCAAACTAACTCGACAAACGTTCGTACATTTCCCTTCGTACGCTCGACTTGGCCGACTTACTCGCCGAAAAAAATAAACGATCCCTATTAACACGAATCCAAAGCAACAAGAGAAAGACACTCAGTCGGAGACAGAAGGACAAGGAGACGACAAGTGGCAGGCAGGTGAATGGCAAGGGCATGAACGGCAAGGCCGATGTCTACTAGCCCGGAACAACGGAAGCGTAGGAACGATGCGCAACCGAGATATCCTCTAACAAAGGCGACATAAGTTACGTAAAGTGGCCGTATACGTTCCCGGCCGACTGGCTATTCTTTACAGACTGCTATATACCACACACAACCACGCAAAAATACAACACACGCACGCACACGCGGGAAATCAAGCCAAGTCTGTGTACTCATCGAGCTTACCAGGTGAAACACACATGGAACGAGGAGCACGATCTCGCCATCGTCCAACACGCATCGTTGTCGATGCGCGCCTCTACGGGCGACAAACTGAACCGAAGCGGAAAGCAGAGGGCGCAGTGGAACGAAGAGGGACAGAGATAGGAGAGAAATATAGTAATCCCGTGTATATACGTATTCCCCGTATATACAGGGTGTAACGCGGGTAACGAATGTTATTGATGTCCGGCACGATAGTACAGGAATGGCACGCCCTTATTGTCATTTTATACGATACCTGCCTCCATTTTCGGTCACAAATATCGGATAACGGCGCGACTCTGTCGTGGCAGGGGTCGTCCCTTCTTTTTTTTTTTTTTTTTTTTTTTTTTTTTTTTTTTTTTCCGATGCCTCGTACACGACGACGGCTATTGGCTTCGTACGGCAAATTGGACGACGACGGATCGCTCCTACCCCGTAGGAAAATCTGTTCGAAGAGAAGGCGGTGAAGTTTTTCCTTCTCTCTCACGGTTCTGCGCCGGACTCCTTTCTTGTCTTATATTCGTTTCCTTAAGTCGATTTTCCTTTTTTTTTCTTCTTATGGAGTTTCTTTTTTCTTTTTTCTTTTTTTTTTTAATTTTTCTTTAATACGAGCAATAGAGGGCGAGGGTGGCCATGATGCGTCACGGTTTTGGAATTTTCTATTCTATTCCGTTCTAGCGGTTGACGCGTCATAAATTTCTTTGGAAAAAATATGAAAGATTCTCCTTCTTTCTCGGGTCTATTTAATTTCTTTTTTTTTTTCATCTTCTTCTTCTTCTTCTTCTTCTTCTTCTTTGATGCGATTTCTCTCGAATGATTTGAAAAGACTTTTTCAATATTCCTTTTTTCAAACATCGATAATAATAATTTCTAATAATAATAATTCACGAGTTCTGATCGTAACAAATTGGCCATCTGCTAATGATTACTTTGGCTGTAAAAAAAAAAAATATATATATATATATGTATATAAAAAGACACAAGTTCAAAGGATAAGTGAGAGGAAATGTGAGCATGCATAAAAAAATGACTAATTATGGAAAACGCCTCGAGAACAAAATGTAGAGGAGATATTAAACGGCAATATCAATCGAAAATCGTTTTTTTTTTT